CCCCGGTGGCTCGGAGCCCCCGCGCCGCTCCCGTCCTGCCGCGCCGCCCCGCGGCTTGGAGTTGCTGCGCCGCGCCCTCCCTCGGCCTTGCTTTTGTGCCCCCCTCTCCCACGCGTTAACAACACCACCACCTGGCAGGAGGCCGCCGAGTCCAACCAGGAGGTCGCCCCAGGCTATGCCTCCCGCGGGCGGGCGAGCACGCCTGCCTCTGTACCCCCACCCCCGGGCTCTTGACACCGCTCTGGCCTGGGCCACCTTCTCCCTGAAGCCATCCCGCTGTAGGCCTAGGCTGGGGCCTCCCCTGGGGATCAAAAGGGCAGGCAAGGGGCCAGCCGGGGCAGAGGCGGGCAGGGGTAGGGAAGGATCGGACTTGGAACGCGGAATTTGAGATCTTGGCTCCTGCGCACAGCGGGCCGGGGTGGGGGCCAGGGGTCAAGCACCCTCCCTCTTCCTCCCTCAGAATAGGCCGGCCTGAGAACCTCCGCATTTATTGGGTTCATCAGCTCCCCAAGCTCCTCCCGTCTCCTCCCAACACTCCGCTCCTCCCTCAAGCCCCCACCGCTAGGCCAGCTGCAGCTGGCAGCTCTTGAGTGGGCTCAGGGTGCGGTTTGTGGTGCGGGTGAAAGTGTCCACTTGGGGCACAAACTTCTCAGCCGGCACCGTCAGCTTGCGGCGCGTGTCCATGCACTTGGTGTCCAACAGCATGGAGTTGGCCTTGCAGGCAATGTCAGCCTGCAGCCGGGCCAGGTGCTTGTACAGGGCATCCAGAGCATCCCTGTGGGGCAGGCATTAACAGCCCGGTGCTGCTGAGAGGTCTGGGCAGACTCCCCAGCTTAGAGCCCAGGAGAACCAGCAAGCAGCAGGAGGCCCACCTGGGGGGCGGTGTCTCCCCACCCCTCCTGCCCACTCCCCAAACCTACTGTGCTTGTGCCAGCTTCTGCTTCAAGGCAGCAATAGTTGCCTCTAACTGGTGAACCTCGTCAATGAGGCCGTACTGTGCCTGGAGGGGCAGGGTGAACGTTCCGGGTCAGCCACACTGTCCTCCAGCCCTCGGGCCTGAGGGCTGCCCTAGGCCAGCGTGATTCCTCCACCAGGAATATGTGCTGAGAGGTGACCACAAGGACAACTTAGCAACAGGCCTGTGCACCCCCTGGGAGGCCCTGCACCTGGTCTCTGCAGAGCTCCACATTGGGCCTGTACGTTCTGGACTCCAGGCGAGTATGGCACAGCTTCAGGTTCAGCATCTTTCTGCGCAGATCCTCCTCCAGGTGCCGGATGTCCTCCTCCAGCTCAGCGATCTCCTCCAAGGTCTGCGGGGGACAGAGTGACTAGCGGAGCTCTTGCAGGAGCACCCACCCAGTCCAGGGCTTCCTGGCAGGGATCTGGAAGCTGGCCCCAGGGGAGGGCTCACGTTCTTCTCTTGCCACTTGAGCTCACTGTACACACTCTCCATCTCCCGGAGCCGCTTCCTGAAGGCAAATTCCGTGGCCACCTTCTGGGCTTCGAGTTCGTTTTTGGTCTGCAGGACAAGAAGGAGGCCAAGCAAGGGGAGAGCCTGAGCTCCTGGCCTCGTGAGGGTGCTGCTTAAGTGAGGAGAGGGGGGGTCATGTGGCCAACCGGGAAAGAAGGATAAAGGCGGAGTGCACTCCACTGGCCTTTGGGGAGGGGGCTATGGGGCTCTGGTCACCTCAGCAATAGTTAGGGCGATGGCCTCCCTCAGCTTGGTGGCTGCTTTCATCTCAGCCTCTGCTCGGTTTTTGTTGAACTGACTGAAGTCATCCCACTGCTGAAGTGTAGTGGAGCTGCAAGTAGCAGGAAATCACGGGGCTGCAGGCTGTGGGTGATAAGGGGAGGAAGAGAGAGCGATTGAAACATTCTTCTTACCCATTGGGGACACGTGTGGGGTTGACCTTCAGAGAGATGTTTGGGGACTTGAGGTTGAGAGAGAGACAGCCTCTGTCGATCTCCAGCGTCTCCATTTTGCCCCGATGGTCAGAGTTGAGCTGCTGTCGGACTTCCTGCAGGAGGCTGGGGAAAGAACAGCAGCGTCAGGAGCCAGCACTTAGGCCCCTGGATGTCACCTTCATTGTGCAGAGGGACATGAAGGACTGGGAAGCTGGGATGGCTTTCCCAGCAGAAGACAGTGGAGCTGCTGCTGTAGCTGAGATGAAGACCTTGCACAGTTGGGCAAGGTTTCCCCAGGTGAAACTACAACACCCAGGTGCTCACACACAGTCACGGGGCACAGGTGGCTATACTAAGTCTCACACACTAACGTACTCAGGAGTGGTGGTAAGAAGGCTTCAGATAGCTGGCGTGGTGGCGCATTCCTGTAATCCCTGGCTGAAGCAGGAGGATCACCATGAGTTCGAGGCCAGGCTGGGCTACATAGTTCAAAGTCAGCCTAAACTACACTGTGAGACTCTTGTCTCAAAAAGCAAAATATCAAACAAACAAGAGGGCTTCAGCTGCCATGCTTCTAAGTCAGAATGGCTGCTTAGAGCAGGGTCCTGACAAGTATTCTGAGACAATGGCCAGGCAGCGGAACACTTAGTAGGTTCCACCATGAGCACAGAAGGGACAAAAACAAGGAAGCCATTTATGCATTACCCATAAAACCTGTGTTCCACATTCAAGACACGCAGCCTTCAAGTGGATGGGGACATTAATCGACTGTCTCCGT